CTTCAACATAGTCTTCTTGTGCCAGGCAGCAGAACGCATCGAGAAATCAGCAAAGCGAAAAAGTATAGGTTGGTTGTGACCCGTCTTTGCCATACCGAGTCTATGAGCCATCCGGATAGAAGATGATGAGAGATTCGTCATGCTCAGGTGTTTCTGAAGAATGTTTACAACAACATTAGGCACATCTTCATCAGCTTTTTCTGGAACACCACTTAACAAAAGATATTTTCTGCGGTGTCTTATCTCAGTGAAGTCAACTAACCGACTAATCTCTGCTATTTGTTGGCGAAGCAGGTTGAACATGTCTTGAACAAAGTCCCGAAAGAAGTAAAATCCTGACCAACCTTCTCAACAGCAACAGCCTTGGAACAACTGGAATCGAGCTGCTTCTCAAACTCTTCCATCTTACGAGTGATTAACGCTTCCAAGGACCTCTGAGTTTCGGCAATGTCAGCAATTGTGGTCATAGTGGTGAACAAAATTCACAAAGTGATTATAGAAACAAATTGTGCTCCAGCAGTGTGGTGCAAAGGAAAAAATCTATTGCTATATTATAATTTACGTGTTTTAATACGTGATAACGTCCCTAAATTAAATGTAAGTAAATAAATTATTAATTGATTAGTAATTAAAGTAAGACGAACACGTATGCACTTATTTATCACCCACCCGCGAATATTTAGTAAATGCGAGTCTAGAGATTTAATTCTCTTTCGAGTATCGAGATTTAATTTTTGCTTTAACTTTGTAATGGCCATCGTTATTAAGCTCCCCAGAATACGTGGCACTGCCGAAGCTGGAAAGCTTAGGAGCTAGTTCAATATGCAGCGAAAAAGCTGATCCGGATGTTGATCTCGAAACCATGGAAGGCGGTACGTTGCTGCCTCCAGAACACGGGGAGCTGCCCGAGATTGAGAGCCTGGGAAGAGATTCTTCTTTTTTTTGTAAGTATCTTGATTTTTCTTTTCTTTTTTATTAGTATCAAACCGTGGCAAATGTGATTGTTGATAATCAATATAAATTTGTTAGGCATATAGGTTAAAACACAAGTTGCTACCGGGAACAAAATGTCACTTCAAAAGGTCTATTTCTGAAGTCTGTGATAATATGAAGCATGATCATCGTTATTAATGTTTACCTGGGACAAATAGTCCGACTAGGTAAGTTCAACTTCGACCGAGATATCAATTCATGGGTTCAAATCGGCTAGGCAGCGTTCGGAATATTACAACACATCTTCTCGTCAGGCATACCTCAGAACTAGATTGTACAATCAGTGCATGTTGCCAGTGATCACCTATGGATCTGAGACGTGGTCCTTCACTGCTGGCCGTATGAGGAAGCTCGAAATTGCTCAGCGAGCTATGCTCAGGGTTTTTCTGCGCAATAAACTTAGGAATGAGGATATCCGCAGTAAAACCAGAGTGACCGACATCGCTCAACTGATAAGTAAGCTGAAGTGACAATGGACCGGCCATATATCTCGAAAAACCGATAACCGATGGGGAAGAAAGGTTCTCGAGTGGCAGCCTCGTACCGGTAGGTGAAGTGTAGGACGTCCCCCACTAGATGGAGTTACAACCTGGTAAGACATGCAGGAAGTTGATAGATGCAGGTGACTCAGAACCGTGCTTTGTGGCATTCCTTGTGTAAGGCCTATGTTAAGCAGGGGACTTAAGCAAGGGGAAGGGCTTTAATAATGATGAATGATAATGGCTTTATATTAATATAATACATCAATAGAATGGACGTTACGGGTAGAAGCCATCTATCCATAGTCTTTTCTATTTATTTAGGTATAGGTAATGTATATAATTTTTAACGATATATTTTGTCACACTGTCTTATCCCTGTTATTAGTGGACGTCCACTTCTGCTATCATCGCCAAAATGGCGCAAATCAAATTGCCTCATCATGTCACGGTATACAGCCAGCATGGAGGTTAGAGAGAAAGAGAATAATCGCTACGTGCTAAAGCATAGCCCGCCTGTGCCTGAACTGCCGTCGATAAGTAGTATCTGCGAAGTTAGCTTTTTATGAGTACAAGTAGATGAAGTTAGTTGAATAATATACAAAATTTCTTCGCTGCGTTGGCGAGAAAATAATCGTGCTCCGTAAATCTTTATTTTTGACAAAAAGAAATTTTAAAAATGGTGACATATTGTATTGTTCACAGATGTGCAATTGGTTTACCATCTAATCGAAAAAATAGACTGATAATGACCATGACTTTAATTCAGACAACTTAGCGATTGCAGCCCCTTACTTATTTTGTCCATATTTCTGTGACTATATTTTATACAGCGATTGTTCTCCTTCTGTCTAACATCCATGATAGCCAGTCGAGCGTACTTGAGTATGGGAGTAGTGGTGACGGAGTTAGTGCATGCAATTGAGGGAGGGCGGGAGATACTCTTCAATCCAGCTAAGACACATCATTGTATTTAGTTAGTGGAAGGTTGCGAAGTAATTTATATTTTTATTAAGATCCTTACTCAGTCATAGGGATGGAAAAGTAATATATAATATATATATATATATATATATATATATATATATATATATATATATATATATATATATATATATATATATTGAATCGATATTTTTAAACAGTATCAATATATCGTGTGATAAATATCGATATAGCGTCATGTTTTGCAGGATGTAATAGGATAAGGGACAAAACTTGTTTTAACGACGAAAAAACCACGACTATTAATATTAAAGAAAAGACAAGGCCTCTCCTCCCCTTAAAATATGAGTGAAAGAACATTTAAAACTTAGGAAAAATCACTAAACTGGAGTCAAATGTATTCCGAATACCTGAGAATGGGGGAAGAGGAGTTCGAGGAGCTATTAAGCTTGGTTCCTTATTTCGAAAAACGAAATACGGCTTTAAGGCAGAGTGCTTGATAAAGATAACTTCTGACTTTAAGATGTCTACCTCTATGTGCGCGTATTTGTGGCGCGCGCTTTGTGTTTCAAAGAATATTCATTTGTTTCTTTAACAAAATAAATTGTTATTAAGAATTTTATGATAGCTAAGTTATTTAAGAATATTTAAACTATTAAAAAGCTTATGTACCTAACCCTCATAACTAGAGTGATGTTGTTTTGTAGTGTGCTATATTTTTACTATATTAAATGTTGTTGTTAAATATTGGTACTTACTAATTTATAAAAACCAAAAATACATAAGTAACCCTTGAATTCAATAGCCTTGTGTATCAGCCTTGGTAGGAATCAACGTTTTTTTGCGAGGATTTATACTAAATATACTTTTTTATTTCATACTAAATACACGTTTTTATTTCAATCCTACCTGTAAAGTTTAGTTATGATAATTGTCACAACCTACCAAAGAGTTAGATAGAAAAACAAATTAGGAGAAAGTTATTTGTAACAAATCATTTACTCTGTTTCATCCTGCTGCTTTTTCTTGCGTAACTCGAGTTTAGTAGTTAGAGTCGAGTTTTTATTATTAAATTTATGAACGATAAATCGAAATTTTTCGATGATTTTTTATCACCATTTAAATATATATATATATAAGTAAGTGTAAAAGTGAATTTTTCTTACGTGACATATCAAATTTCTAAAGTTTTTAATTAAATTATATATTGTTACTTCAGGCTCAGAAGAGCTAGAACACAGAGCCCCATAGGCAGTTAATAAAAAAAGTATATCTATGGTAGTGAATATATTCACTTTGCAATAATCATCTGGTCCAGATTAGGGATGATCGATGTTGCAGAAACATCGATGATGACATCGATGTTGGTATCGATAGCTTAACTTCGATGTTCGATGTTTATCGTGCTCATAACATCGATGTTGGCCATTATGGATGATTTATGCACGTGTACTTATTTGTGTATGGCTTAGTGTCAGAAATTTAAAAAATGGGAAGATGTTAACAAATACCTAGTTCATTTGTTATAATATTATAGTCTAATATTTCTTGCCGATCATGATGAATTTTACTATTTTGATTTTTAAATGTTCTACACATTCACAAATCTGATATAAAAAATTTACTATGGGACTTAATTTACGACTTGGACTTAGTTTTTATATCAACTATTTTTATCGCGAAAGAAAAAATATGGTTTTAGAGAAAAAATTAACAAACCACGCAAAAAATAATAGACTTTTCCATTACCTTTGTTCAAAAATTTAATCAGACAGCCGAAGCAGTAGGTATCCACACACGTTTATAAAATGCACTGTCGAATGCACTATGCAGTTAAATGGTCTATGCTCACGCTCGTTCAGTGATTTATTTTCATAAACTTCAAGTTCTAGCAAAAAATTAAATCATTATGATAAGCTAAATAATGCAACTAAATGTAATTGAATTGTGTAGATACTTAGATATTGATTCAAAATTATGTGGGTGTAGACAGCAAGGGAAAAACAATTCATTTGAATATCAATTTACGTAGAATAGTTATTAGGCGACAACTGACAATGTTACTACAGAATAACAAAGCGAAAGCAGTTACAACTGTGACATTACAATTCATACTTACACACACCATAATGATTTTTTTTTTAGGTGATCGATGCATGATTATTCCAAATTTTAAACCTTTAATAGAAGATGCAAGATTTAATTGATTTAAATTTCGCGGGTTCGCGTTTTTCAGTGGTTCCTTTTAATCGGTTATGGGTTCATTGACATTGATGTTTAACATGTGGCAACATCGATATTTCGATGTTTGTCATGTGGCGACATCGATGTTAAAACATCGATGTTTGATGTTTTAATTTTTAACATCGATGATCATCGGACATCCCTAGTCCAGGTAACAAAAATACTAAAAATGTTGAAAATAGTGGTATAAACCGAGTTTATTATGATTCTTTTGGTTCACTTTTTTTATCATAATAATAATAGTAATATTCAACACTTCAAACTGCCTGAAAATGTTAGCCAATACCATTTAGTAGGAAATCTTATTTCTGTATTTTTATCGTTTTTGAATGACGTGTAATGTTTCCAACGGTGGACTCTGAAGATATTTCGCAGGTCACGTCATTAAAAGAAAAACAAAGTTTTTCTAGCGATGTGCGAGATTCGTCAGAAAATTCTCAAGTGGCGAAACAAAACAATAACAGAGAGTTAACTGTCAATATGTTGATAAAAGAAATGATTTTTTGCATTGCCTTAGCATTGACTACCTATGGAGCTCTCCATACTACGTACGTTTTTAGACTTATGTTACTTATTAGAACTATGTATTCTAGATCTTTGTTCTAATAACTATTAAAAAATGTGACTATAACACGCTTATAAGTTTATTCGGCGAATTGCTGTTTATTAGTCTAAGAACATTAATTACATAAAATTTTGAATGTGAAATACATATATACATTTATTGCAGCTCTTCTAAAGTTTCCAAGCATCCACAAGCAGTAAATTTTTTTAATTCAGGCTCTGTAGTAAAGGACTGGTATAGAGGTCAACTTGGCAATGCACTTGCTGCTGTCAACATTGCAGATGTGTCATTTATTATGTATTATGCACCATGGGATGCAGAATCACAATATGTCAGGGGAGAGTTTGAGTTGGCAGCTAACATCCTTAGTGGCCGGGTAATTATTCTTATTATAATGATTTCTTAAATTTATGCGAACACTATACATTGAATAAAATTATATATATAGATTTTATCACATTTAATTTTCTTATTTTAACTTATTTTTAATTCTCGAACTTTTGGGTGCTTTACAGCACCCATGGTCACAGGAGGACTGAAATGTTTGACGTCCCATGTCATAATTAACCAAGCTACCTTGTTTTTGAATATAAATTTTTGGTCCAATTTATGCAGAATGAGCTTACAGTATCTTGAAGTTTTGCAATGGTATGCTTGGGTTTAGGTTTAATTTTTTTTGTTTTTCGCTCAGGCTGCTGACCGCGCACCCCGCGGCGCCTTAAAATGGCCTTGTCAATGGACACAAAAAAGGTTTTTTAAAGGGAATGAATGAATCTTTATTTCTGTACAAGTGCTGTTAAGATTTATAGATTCTTTTAAAAAATAATTAGCGCTAAATTAGGAAACAAACAAATTTAAAGCGATGACCAATATATTTTATATTTTTAAATGCATTGTAAATATATTCTTAAACAATATTTATAAAAAACACACATTGTCTTGGAGAATTTTTTTTTCGAGACTCTAACGTTCTGTAAGAGTTGAGTATGAAAAATTGTTTTAAAAAAATGTGTTTGAATATAAAAATATAAATTTCTTTGCAACTTTCCGCTAAACATATAAAATGATGTGTCTTACCTGGAATGAAGCGCACCTCCCGCCTTCCCTCAATTGCATACACTAACTCCGTCACCACTATACCAGCACCACTACTCTCAACACCACTATTCCAGGCAAGACACACCATCGACGATAATACGACACGTGTTTCGCCTCTACACGAGGCATCATCAGGTAATATAGACTCTACGGCGGCTGACCGCTAAGTGAGCGGCGAGTCGACTCACTCGACTCACTCGACTCGCCGCTCACTTAGCGGTCAGCCGCCGTAGAGTCTATATTACCTGATGATGCCTCGTGTAGAGGCGAAACACGTGTCGTATTATCGTCGATGGTGTGTCTTGCCTGGAATAGTGGTGTTGAGAGTAGTGGTGCTTGGTATAGTGGTGACGGAGTTAGTGTATGCAATTGAGGGAAGGCGGGAGGTGCGCTTCATTCCAGGTAAGACACATCATTTTATATGTTTAGCGGAAAGTTGCAAAGAAATTTATATTTTCATTTTTTATTATAATGGATTTCCGCAAAGTAACGCCTGATTCTATCAATTGTGTTTGAATATTTCAATAAAACTGGCACTTACGACTAAAATATTAATATCAGCTTTATGAGTATGAAATACTTTATGAGATTTGTAAAAAGTAGCAAGATCTATTGAAAGATTACTGAATCATGTAAGGAAAAAGAGAGGTTCAACTAGTCCCAGAAAAAAAACCACATGTTTCTTTATGAATTTAAGCATATATTTTAAATAAAAAAACAATAATTAAATACTGTATTTAATAAGCTTTTTAATAGTGTATTACACTTCTTTATACATTAACATCAAAAAGTAATTAATAATAAAAGCACATATGTCGTCTTCAATCTCACAATCTGAAGATAAAGTTGGGCGTTATAGCATACAACAGATGATATATTTCATTATATATTTGTAATCTTACAACACATTAGAATAATGAACCATTGACTGTTATAATATATTCATTATTGTTAGAAAGCATCATCTGTTTACGTTTACGGTCCAGCTGTCGGCCGAGACACAGCACCTCAATGGGAGCCAATAAAATACTACATTCATTATGCCACAAGGATTGCATATAGCTTACACTAATTTAAACTCTAAGCTAACTTAATAAGAGCTTATTTTACTAACACTAAATTATAACCTTCATTGCTAGCTGTTGCCTGTTGTGCCTGTTATTAAATTTTTTGGCTGTTGTAATATATTAGTGTTCAGTTAGCTGTCTAGCTGAGATGACAATGACACTGTTATCTGTTAAATTATATACGTAATGTTTTGATAGCAGGTCTCCATATTACGTGAAAAGCTATTGTTGTTTTTATTTTTCGTTAAGTTTTATTCCTAAAGTAATTTTAAATATTTAGTGATATATAGATAGGATTTAGCGTGTTGTATGTAAAAGTGTATAGTAATGTCGCGTCAGCGTAGCGCAGCTATTTGGAACTATTTTATAGTCCAAAGTGTGAACGAAAAAAAAGCAGTGTGCAATTATTGCAAAAAAATTTTTCTTTCAAAAGTACAATTACAAATTTAAAGCTTCACCTTAAGCAAAGACACGTAGGAATGTATGAAGAGTTTTGCCGTTTGGATTTAATATCAGATAGACTCACAAGGCTTACGTCGTCAAAAGTAAACCAAATAATGTTTTTGAATAGTAACTGAAAAAATTGTAAATAATTGTAGATAACTAAAACTTTGACCACTGTAAATAATGTAAAAATTCAATCAAAATGTACATAACATCAATAAGCTTCTAACTATGCCTGAATGAGTTATTTTTCTTAAAATGTTTGAAAATATGAGTAAATAATTATAACAGATACAATAATTACACAGCTTAACATACATTCAGACAGTCCTAAGCCTGTAAAAGGTAGGAAGGGAAGTTCATTGAACTTAATGTACATATTTTAAATGATACTCTTTTAAAACATGAAACACTCAAATGATGCTAATACAACTTAAAAATATTTTTTTTTCTTCATATAATACTTATAATCATTTAATATTTATAATATTTATAATCGTAATAATCTTTCATCATAATATTCATAATCGTTATAACAACATACAACAAAATGCTAACAGAGTGGACAACTGAACTGAACTAACCACGTGTACAATCTAATATTTGAAACTGTTATAATATATTATTACAGTTTAAAACAACAGTTAGAAAAATATATTACAACAACATAACAAATTAGAAAAATACAACAGTTACCTTTATCTGAAGATGACAAATGTTAATTGCTTTTTTTTATTTGGCAGATGGATATGAGTGTTGTTAGAACTAAAAAGATTGGGAATATAATACAGATTTATTTAAAAATCAAGATACGCTAATTTAAACATAGGCAGGAAGATCTTTTAGAACGCAAGGTTGTTTGGGTACTGAATTAACCATAGCCATTTTGCACCATTTTCGATTTTGGTACTAATATTAATAGACTACCCATTGCCACTTGAGCTGTTACAGGATCACAAGCAGATCCTAAGACCCATCCATCTTCTCTATTAAAATTAGGATGTTTTTTAATTTCAATAGCCTTGTGTATCAGCCTTGGTAGGAATCAACGTTTTTTTGCGAGGATTTATGGTTTATCAAATCTGATGTAATGGTGGGGACCAGACAGATTGCAGACTTTCCAGAGCATCGGTGCTTTACGTCAGCTATATGTTCCTTGCAAGAAGGGCTTTCCCCTCAAAGTCCTCCATGAATATGTCGGCGACTATGGGAGATACAGGTGAGCCCATTGCCACACCATCTACTTGCTTGTTCCACAATAAATAACCAGTTGTGAGGCAGTGTTTGAGTAATACTGCATATTCCGCAGGCATGTTGTTATCTTCTAGCTTCCTAGTTACAATTGAGATGCAGTCTTCAATATGTAGGCATGTGAATAGTGACTGAACACCAAAACTGACCATAGTTTCATTGTCAGCGAGATGTAGGTCTTTTATCTCACTAACAAAATGGCATGAATCTTTTGTGGGTGCTCTCATATATCTTCTCAGTATTGATAGTATTTTTGCCAAGTTTTGTGCCAGCTTATGCGTCGGTGAATCAATCTGGCTCACTATGGGACGCAGTGGAGCTTTTGGTTTGTGTATCTTCAGTAACCCATACAACCCCGGTGGCTTGGTACATGATAGTATTAGCGAATTCACGTCGAGATTTAATTTTTCGGAATATTTCTTTATTAAATCGCTAGTTGTTTTAAGTGTGTTAGTTGTGGGGTCTGGTTTGACCTTTTTGTATGTACTCTCGTCCGATAAAAGTTGTTGTATTTTAAAATTATACTCTGACGTGTCCATTATTACCATAGCATTTCCTTTATCCTCGCGGAGGATCGTGAGATCTGGTCTGTCCCGTAAGATATTCAGCACTGTAAATTCGTCTTTAGGAAGGTTTGGTTTCGGCACTGAACTACAATGTAACAAGGTTGAAATATCTTGACGTTTGGTCTCCATCTTCCTTACTGATATTATTCCTAAACAGACAATCCTCAACAATTTCTTCGTAAAGGATTTTTCGCGGTGTTAATGCGAAGTTCATTCACTTCGCTAATACTTTTATTGTCGGTTCGTCCAGTTTATTTTTGGACAGATTATAGACCGTGAGTTGTTTATTGTTTGTGTCTGTGGTCAACGGTTGTGTTTCGTTCTGACGTTGACTTAGATGTTTGGCATTTGATTTACAGCAGCTTTACAGGACCTTGTGACGATGGGTGCTGTAAAGCACCCGAAACGTCGGGAATTCAAAATAAGTTAAAATAAGTATTCTCATTATATTAAAAATTCTTCTGTGGTTCTTCTGTATTCCATGCCCATCCGTCAACCTATAATGCTAAACACATTGGCAACATGCAGAATGAAGCCGTGGTAGAAGCATGAGTGGCTAAGCCATGGTGCATTGACGGTTACTTGATATCCATCTGGATGAAAGTCAGCAGAAGGTCCAACAGGGAAAGTGCATGATGCTCCACATCTGGAATCCGCATAATCAAAGTAATCAGTTTTGTCAGACCATATACTAAGGAAAGTCAATAACAGATCTCTGCATGATCGGCTAAACGTGGTCCGAGGTGTTCGGCAATTATTTTCTGTGTAGTTTTTATAACAATGCCTAAATGAAATGCATGTATTTTATATACAATTATCCGATCTGGCCCGGCTTCGCACGGGTGATTTCTGGATTTTGACAACAGCGCCACCTACCGGGTCCAATTGAGTTTTTAAACCATCCAAGGACCCAGTCAAATAAACACAAAAAAATTCATCAAAATCGCTCG